GCACCCTCGTAGCACGGGGCTATTCCCACAAAAACCCACTCATAAGCACACAATTCACTCTCCTCAAATAATATAATAAATAAATAATCACAATAATAATAATTAATTAACAATAAATATTATATTAATAAATATTTAATTAATATTAAATAAATAAATAAATAATAATAATAATAATTATTTAAAAAAAAAACCTCTCCCAACGTCACTAGTTGCTGGCTCACAGCCCAGACCTGTCATTTTTTGATTTATGTGACCTTTTTGACCTTTGACCGAACCTGTCATTTTGACAAAACCGGTATTATCCATCTCTCTGCCCATAACGTCTAGAAACTTCATGGGGGGGGGGGGGTCTCACAAAGAATCTGGATGTGCCACTCAATCTGCAGAGTTGAAAGTAGATCCTGTTAAGGATGACCCTAGCAAGAACCTTACCCGCCGCTGAGAGCAGGGTTATCCCCCTGTACATGGTGCAATCCAGCCGATCACCCTTCCCTTTCCAGAAAGGGGCTAGACGTCCTGTTTTCCAGTCACATGGGATGACGCCACTGATCACAAAGGGGCAGAAATAAGAGAAAAACTCTACAAACTGAACCATAAATAAAACCTACACAGCAAAACAGGTAATACAGGAACTAGAACTAGGGAGACAGGCAGGGTAACACTCACAGAACAAATCACAATGACTGACTGGGGAAATCAACGAAGGCAGACACTTAAATACACTGATACTGAGGACTAACGAAGGGCAGGTGTGAATAATCAAGAACAACCAATCAAACAACAAAGCAAGGTAACAGGAAACAGGTGGTATGATTCACAATAAATGAGTACTGGACAAGAGAACTGTAACAAACACCAAGACTAGGAAAAAGGCTAAAACAAGTACAACATAATAATAAGAGCACAAGCATGGTAACTCAAACCAGAAGCTACGCGATGGTTCAGGAAATAGGGAAAACATAGAGTTTAAAGCGGGGCCATTCAAATCACGGTCCTCGAGGTCCAAGCACTGCTGGTTTTCCAGCCTTCCTTTACCTGTCAGTCAGGTGTGAAGCCTCTGACCAATCAGAATCAGTAATTATTAAACTAGCTACCTGAAAGAACTGGATTTGGAATGGAGGTCCAGATTTGAAGAACCCTGGTTTAAAGGGTTTAAAAGTAAAAGACAGAAGGGGGGGGGGGTAAGGCAGAATGTCCATTAATGGCTGCTGGCCAGGTAAGGAAAGGTCAGAGGGTGGGGTCAGAGGGTGGGGCCATATGGGCGGGACCAAAGGGTGGGGTCAGAGGGCGGGGCCAGGCAAATCAGATGACCCTGACACAACAGATGCCTGTGACATTTCCTACCCCCAGCTGATTCACCACCTGTGCGATCTCATTGATTCTGGGTGGTTAACAGCTAATCAGAGGATCAGCTGCAAGAACCAAGCACCCAGAAATGTCCAGCGTCCTAGCTGAAGGATCAGCCTTAAACAGCCACTCAAAGCAAGGCTTTCATCATCACATGCCCTGATTGCAACTTCCCAAGGAACAGATCTGGATGTGTGTAATGCTTTGATTCCTCTGTAAGAATAACGTGAGTCATTATACCACAGATGATGAGTTACTTGCTCACATATTCCTCTAATAAACACCTCCTCATCTATCCAGTACAGATTGCAGTCGTCATCAAACCGTTTCAGGTGACTCCTCTCAATAATATCTAAGGTACCCTGTGAGAGATGAAGCAGCTCCTTCTGGAAACACTGGCAACTCCAAGATAAGCCTCAGCAGCCTTCTGGGTCTTATCAAGAAAGGTCTCCCACATCACATAAGGATCAGCAGTCGCACCCAAGTCTGCAAGTTCCTCACGCAAACTGCATGCAGCCTCATTAGAAACAGCCTGATCTTGGAGTCTGGCTAAGTCCAGCCTCGTTCTCCTAGTAGGTGGTAGCCTACTGGATCTAAGCTGAATCTCAGAGTAGCAACAACAAGTCTGAGGCCCGAATTCACAAACTGGGCACTTCTGTAGACCCTGCAGCTCTGTAGAAGCATCCAGCGTCTGCCCATAAGAATGTGATCGATCTCCTTTGCCACACCACCGGTACTGGAGCGCCAAGTCCAATAATGCACACAGGGTGCTGGAACCAGGATCCAGCGACCTGCAGACCCGTGGGGACCAGTACAGTCCCCATAGCCATCTCTGCCGGTGCCTGTGGTCATGATGAAGTCACCCATGACCTGACGAGTGCCACCTCATGGGCACCCACCAACCACCGAGCCGAAGCTGCCAATAAAACGTTTCCCTCTTTGAAACATTACTCACACTAAGACAACAGACAAAATACCCAAAGAGTGCGGACATGCATGGAATATTCACATTGTGAAAGGACGAGATGTAAGAAAAATACAGGAAAAAAATGTAGAATAATAAAGATTCATCATTTAAAATAAGATTATCACTTTAGGGTACAGATTCACAAAAAAAACATATAAATAACTGATCTATATGATAAAATGTTTGGTACAGAACTACAATTTTCCTTAGGGCTATGTTTCTGCATGCGTAGTGCATTTGCCTCAATAACGCGTGGATTCACAAAGAACGATAAAGAGCACGCTATTATTTATTCATTTGTTTTTTTTTTGGGAAGGGGGATCTGCCGATATTGGCGGGTAGGCATCCTCCCCGCCCCCCCTAGGGACCCTTATGACGGTATACGACCACTCAGGATGACTTAGGCGAGTTTGGCTCCTAATATACCGAGGTAATGGATTTCCGATTAGTATTATTCCTTCTGGAAAATCTCTGAAAAAGCGATTCGCCCTGATATTCCAAAGGATCTTGCAAAGGACCAGCCCATCTTGTCCTCGTTCTGAAGGACCGTTAATAAATGATGCCAGAGTTCAAGTCTTATTATCCCGATACATTCATTACTGACATTTCAAGAAGAAAATAATTAATAAATAACATACTGAACTGTTTAAGCGGTCTGACTTTCTCAGCCCCGCCTTCGCGAGTGGACAGAGCTCTGTTTTAAATCTGTAATCTAATATTGCTTACATTGACTAAACCTGTTCCGAGTAGGTTTGAGTTTACAGATTGGTTGCTGTAACAACTAATCCAACGGTTTTGAAGAACCGAGAAATCCGGAATCTCGCCAAATCATCAATTAAATCCTGGAAAACTCGTTAATCCAGGTACTAAGAATAGGTACTAACCCCAATAAAATACTAACCCTGAGCGATTTAGCCAAGCAAAGGTGCCTTTTAGTTTAGTTTAGTAGTTTGTAAATCCCAAAGTAGCTCAGAGGTCACAGGGTCACAGAAAAGACAAACTTTAGTTAATTAAATTAGCATCTGGGTAGTTTTACAGTTAAGGAAATGAAAATAGTGAAGGCATATTTATTTATTTGTTTGTGCATTCTTCAGAAAATCACAGTTCTATCAGGTATAGTACATACATTTCCCCCTTTTCACAAAGAAACTATGAATTCTTCATACATCTTTCAGTGGCTGCCTTTTCTCCGCACTGGAAATTATTAAATCCATTTAGCAATTAATGAAAAATACAATTAAAAATGTGTTTTTATCCTATAGCAGATACATGGGATGTAAAAGTGAGACTTCTGTTTGTGATGAATTGATACATAGTTGCGGTTTGCATAACCAATGGCTGTAGCATTGCTTGATTGTTACTCTCAGTACCAAGTCTGTGTAATGCTTCCATTTTGCCATGGATTAACATTCGGAGCGGGATCAGAATCTCTGGGAGTAAAACTGAAACTGGCTAAAAAAAATTCTTTCTTAAAACAAATACGCAGGAAAAATTATCATGAACAATTAGTTTAAAAAAAACTGTATGGAAAATTACATGATTTATACAGAGTTCTAATTCCAGGTCATGTGAAAAACTGAAACAAAACAAAAACGTTAAACAGCTATGAAAAACTTGGAATGATCCTCAGTCTTTCCTGCTTAAGCTTCTCACTGACTGAAGCATTGGGAAATCGATTTAGTGCACATGGGCAATCCACAGTCCCCTGTTATTCAGGTAAATCCTGGACACATGTCTCTCTGTTTCTTACTTCTGGACTGATCTACTCTACAAGTCCTCCACAGCTGGACTTACATGAGACACCCCTATTCCAAGGTTCCCAGCATCAGGATTAGAGCTCATGCAGAGCTGGCTGGCATTAGTTTGTTGTAGCGAAGAAGAGGCACTTAAATGTCATTTCAGGCACTCATTTTTATCTTAAGTAGATAATACTGCTCTCCATAGTCGTTAACTGACATTGTGTTCTATAAAATCTACATAAAACTGCAATGCGTCACTTCAGTGACGTTAATATTTTATGACGGCCTTAAAATTAAAAACACAATTAAAATAAATAAAACCGATTACCTGAAGTCCTGAGGAGTGCTGTTTAATGTCCACACTGAAGGAGGAAATGAAGCCATGTAACTGTTACCTGAAGAGGTATTTACAGAACGCAATGATCTCCGGGAGTAGGAGGTAAGCTAACTTTATGCATCACCGTGTAGTGCTGCCTTTGGTAAACACCTGGCCCAAAGATAATTCTTTACCTCAAAACACTTGACTATGGTGTTGGCAATATAAGTTTTACTAGGTTCATCAACACTTGTGGGAATAGTCCAGATTCCAGCTGGATCCCATTAAATGTAAATACATATGAATATCACTTATCTCTACAGTTGCACCTGATTGCGAGACCAACATCAGGTCTGTTTTACAACTAATCAGAGACTCTTGTGGTCCACCATGGAAAAGTGACTCAGACTGGAGGTCCTGTGGCCACCAACGAAGGAGATTGAAAGGGGAGTCAGACTTTTCTGGGTGCTGTCACACACTCCTCTAGATGAAGCTTGACCACACCCAGTTTGTAGAGCTGCAGCAGCTGGTTAAACTCCTCCGGCATGGCATGTACCATGCTCTTGCTCTGAAGATCGTCATAGTAGTGGTTGGTGAGGGGCCGGCAGTCTCGTGGGTGCCGGGGGTAGGGCCAGAAGCCGTAGAGATGCACTTCATCGCACAGCTCCAGTGCCAGGCTGGCCATCATCATCCCCGTGCTGAGGCGCTTCTTCAGGCCATTGGTCCGCCAGAACCGGGCCAGGCTCCGCAGGTACTCTGGGTTCAGGAAGACGGGTCGTGCTGGGCTTCTGAAGTCCTGCACTGTGTAGAGGGCGCGCAATGAGACGGCCGTGTTTTGCCCATAAGAGAAGGTGGGAAACAGAACCAGGGAGTCCCCAAAGGTGCCCAGCCTTTCTACAAATGGGCGCCGGAGCTCCATCAAGGATCCAAATCTGTTGGGTTGAGGTGAGGTGGAAACGGGCAGGTAGAGAAGGAGACAAAGAATCAGAGTGAACCTACAGGGTAAACCAGGATCTTAGACTTCTCTCTGACTTTTTCCTGCATCAGGATTTTATCAAGATAAAGTCTAAACATATCCTGACCTATAAAAGCCTGGTTTTGGGATATTGTTCAACCCGGCATAGACAGAACATAGTTCCTTATGTGTGACTTTTATAAAAACTATGAAAACTGATTAATTTTCATTACGAATAGCTACCTATCATGGTATATGCTCAATATCAAGAAAAAGTTCAACAGTCTGGTTGTGATGTCATTTCCAGAAAAGAATTAGGAAGCTCAGTGCTCTCCACCTCCAACCTTGACTCACACCCTCCATGACTCACTTATCCATGAGGATGCTCGGATTGGATGTTACCAAGTTCGTCTTGTTGCCAACATCTCTTTTGTAGACCTTGTGCACAGGTGGAAGGTTACACCTGGACCAAAGGATGAAAGATTTCAGGACTGTGTTTTAGCTCCCCCTAGTGTGAACAGGTATTATTGCATGTGGCTAGAAACATCTGGTGTACGTTTTTTCTGCACCAGTTTTTTACACTTGGAAGAGCTAAGTCAATGGTTTCATAGGGCAGAGAATAGTGGTAACTTTATGGAACAAGTTATAGATTATTCAAGAGGTATGAGTCTATGTTACAGTACAATGAAAAATGGCTGATTGTGAGACTGTCGAATCTTGTGACAAACAGACTCAAATCCATTTTTAACTATTATATTTTTTCCCAGCTCCTTGTTGCAGTTTGTGTCATCATCTGTCATCCTGTACACCATATTTATTTCTCCATGCGTTTTTTTGTCTACTCCCATGTGGGTTTGTGTTGGTGAATCACATCAGACAAACAAATAAAAGAGTAATGTTAATAATAAACAAATTATAATTCCTGTCAAAGGAAACAGTGAGACATTTCTGTAGAAACATTTTTTAAATGTATTATTACTTTTATATTATTACATTAAATATGGCAAAATTATGTCAAATGTGTATTAATTATCGTCATATCTTATTTGCAATTTTCTTAAATAGAAAAGATCAATATTTTCACTAAATGTTTGACTAAATGTTATAATTTGAAGACCGGTCTTAACATTCTGTAACATGTCCCCAGGAATCCCAACATACCTGATGACAAACTGGGCCGAGTCGATCTCTTCTCCACAGCTGCTGTTGGCCAGGATTCCACCGTTTCCCACCACGGAACACGTCTTGAATGACTTATTTATAAATGGCGATTCCTACAAGACACATTGTGATACTCTTTTGAGGTGATTGCATGAAAATATACCCGCAAAACTAACAATTTATGGGTGTTTTGATGTCAAGTCGTACCTTCACAAAGGTATCAAACAGTTTTGGGGTCACCTTGAGAGTTTTTCTTTTCTCGCCATCATATGTGATTTTTGACCCCAAAGGTGTATTGAGCTGTGTGACAATGGCCTTGGAGATTCCATTGCACGTGGAGGTCAGCTGAAACCTAATAGAGAAAGTTCTCTTATCATCTATACTATGCTACACCATATATATATATATATATATATATATATATATATAATTTGTAAAATCATTGCGGCACTAAATTATTTCAAGCAGCATTTGTTGCATTGGTTGTTTGTTGGAATGTGCAATGTTCTTCACCTGAATATGTCGGAGGTCTTCTGCTTGCTCCAGCTGCTATTCAAAAGCTTCAGCAGCATCTCAGGCATGTCACACCTTTAAAATAGATAAAGAAGGATAATTATGCATGTAAAAATTACTGTGCCACTGGAAATCTCTGGAATCACAACAGGTTGAGCTTTGTGCAGACCAGCTTCCAGTTTGATGGTCCTGGCCTGGCCAGCTTACTCACAGTTCCATGACAGCACATGGTGACCAGGGGGGTTTCTAACTACTGAAAAGATTAGGGGCTAAGTCAAGTTTACCTGGGCTTGATTTTTGTTTTGAAGGAGGATAATTAGCTAAAATACTCGGGGCTAGGCTTAAAATACTCGGGGCTAGGCTTAAAATACTCAGGGTTGTAGCCCTGAGTGATAGGACCTGACGACACCCATGGTGATGGCGGAGCATGTCGTACCTGCAGCTTTCACATATTCCTGAAGTAATAGGTCTCACTCTCATCGGAGGAGGGTTTCGGAGGTCACTGTGAAGACACGGGTCAAGGTCACCCAACTGGATAACTTATGCCCCCAAATAAACACTGAGATAAAACTTGGTTTTAAATGCCAGCCAAGACACTACATCTCCTTATCTCTTATCTTGAGGAAAGGTTCTAGTTGCTGACCATGTTAGTTGCTTGTTAACAAAAGAACAATGACAAGCAATGTTTAACATCTGCATATATCCTCCGCAAAGACATTTTCTTTTTAAATGTCATAACTTTTTAACTGACTCATTCAGTTCTGTTTGTGCCCGAACTGCAAATTGAAGTTTTGCAACTGCAGTGATTGGCTCCCAAAGGGATACTAAACACAAATGTTTGCCGTTTTTTTATTTCAAAGGCGTTACTAATTAAAAACATCCTAATAATGCTTGTCAGTGAACTTTTTAACTCAGAACAGCTTTTTTAGGACTATAATTTAGGGTGGAATTTATTACTCCTTGAATGTTTTACTTAAAACTACTGTTTTACATACATACATACATAATACATAAATACATACTGCAATCAAATGAATAAAGTAATGATTTTCTTTTTATGAAATCAATAAATGTGCAACATTTTTACAGAATTAAGCAAATGTCCCGAGACTTTCTGTAAGCATTGTATATGTAAACATCTCATATATGGGCAAATATGATGTCTCAAAGACAGCATGTGAACTGATTTATTACATTAACTAATTACATTAGCAACCACTTTGTCAGGGTGAACAATTGGAACGGCCATATAATGATAGCAAAGAAAAGGGCAGTTTCAGATAGTTGATCCAATTAGCTGTGATCATTTAAAAGTATCTGACAGATATTTTAAGGCTAAAGCACTGGACCTGTTCAAATTCTGAGATAAATTACATCAAAACTGAAACAATGTTGCATAGTAACAGCAAAGGGGAGGGAGACTTAATAGGACACATGATCTTGTGAACAGGACAACTTGATCTGATGTTATTACTCTGATCTTTGATAGACCTTATTACCACATCACAAAACATTATATGGATGAAAATACATACGTTATACACCTGAGCAAATTTTATCGGTAGCAGTCCAATGTATTGGGGAGCTCAGTAAAATTCATCATACAGTAAGGAAATTGGATTTCGGTTGGTCTTTTAATAAAGATTTTTTGGAGAGGTTGGCATAGCGTTGGCTTGGGTGATATTGCAGTAATATTTTCGGTGTGCTGCAGAATCTCTCCAACTGCTTGGCGAAATTAATCTTGTCACTTAGCCCTAGTCCTTAGACAGCACATGAAAAAATTGGTACAGATCTAGTGAGCGGTATGATTTAGTATGATGATATGAAAAATTAGCTACCACCAAGCCTACTGTAGGGGTGTTAGTGTCGGAGGAGTAGCGATTAGACAGGGAACCGAGCCGGACCCAAGCCGTACCGCACAGAGAGACTAGTTACAGCGCGGTTCCAGCTCACTTCGGTTTTCCACTGCAGAACGGTCGGCTCGGTAAAGGTGCTGCCGGGTTTGGAAAGAGGCAGCGACATAAAACTGAAGAGACGCTTATTTATCATTTACATTGGGGCTATTCAACTCACGGTCCTCGAGGTCCGAGCCCTGCTGGTTTTCCAGCCTTCCTTCACCTGTCAGTCAGGTGTGAAGCCTCTGACCAATCAGAATCAGTAATTACTAAACAACTACCTGGGAGAACTGAAAACAAGGCCTGGATTTGGAATCGAGGGCCTGAATTGAATAGCCCTGGTGTACATCATGATTTACTGTGTGCTAATTTCCTAATATTCAGCACATCTATGAGAACTGCCATGTTGAATCCATTCTGTTTTGCCGTTCTATAGTACTTTCTTAAGCAGGCAGCTGGAAATTCCGAGTAATCAGGTGTGCAACTATACATAATATAAATAATATATAGAATATATGCTTTTTCCTTCAGATAATCCATGCGCAGACGCTGGTATCTCAGCCAATCAGAAGGTGGTGACACAACCAGCTCAGTTTGGTTACGCTTTCAGCGCAGCTAGTAAACAGGACTGTGCCAGCGCCGGTTTGGGCTGGTTCTTGGTGGCAGTGGAAGTGCCAGGAGTGAGCGAATCATCCAGACATTACATCAGGGGTCACCAACCTTTTTGAAACTGAGAGCTACTTCACGGGTACCGAACCATACGACGGGCTACCAGTTTGAAACACCCTCCTAAACTTATCTAACCTTCATGTATAATAAACATGTTTTAAATGCTTATTTTTAGATATTGTCATTTTCAAATCTATATAAATGCGAATGTGATTAAAGAAGAATAGCAACAGGATCAAATTAAATTTTAGACGCTGCTCACTGGTGAGTTGTGCTATTTTTAGAACAGGTTCGTGGGCGACTCATGTGGCCCTTGGGGGCACCATGTTGGTCACCCCTGCATTACATTATTGTCATTTTTTGCCAGCTTCTTTGTCATTTGCATGCATGCTCATCTTACCTTGTCTAGCGTTATAAGAAATACATAAGTTTATTTCCAAAGTTAAAATAATAGTACATCAACTTTTTGTTTGTTTGTGTTTAGTTTTCACAAGTTTGGGATCTGGTATATGGTACAGATGTTATATAAATCACACTGCAGAGTGGTGACTGAAAATTAACGTACTTCCAGCACTGCAAGCAGGTCCTCCGACTTTCAGGGAAAAATTTGGGAGAAACTTCACGCTGTTGCACTCTATCTGAACTAGTGTGGTGCTTTGGTATCACCTGCTGCACGGTTGCACTCAGGTTGTCATCCCTCAGGTGGTTCGTCGTGCGGAGGGTGCGGGAAACGCACTGTGATCAGTGCGCGCACCTTACCTCTCACAACTGCGCTGTGGGGCAGTTTTTTGCCAGCTAACTGGCGCTTGTGTGTGTACAGTCAAAAAAATCTAGGTAGCACTGACATTTGATTTCACATTACAAATTACAAAGGGTTCTGCATGTGTGTCTTTGTGTGTGTCTGCACATTACATGGCAGTTACATAGTTAATATACCATCCGTGTGTCTGTCATGGTTTTTACTGTTATGTCATGGAACATTTTTGTCACAGTACAGGTCCGATTTAAACTCACGCTGGAAATCATGCTGATATATGCTGTTTTTTTTTCAACAGGGCTGTGCCTAGTCACCGATACAGACGCTCCTCTACTTACGAACAAGTTACGTTCCGAACAGCTGTTCGTAACTTGAAATGTTCGTAAGTCGTTATTCAACATCATTTTAAGGGTACTCAAATCTAGATGCATAAGTAAGTATGATATAAAGTCAATACATGTTTTCTTATCCTAAAACGCATTACTAATGATACATAAAACAAAAATGGATAATGGATGCACAGAATATTTCGCAATAAAAACGAACTAAATTTTGATCTCAAGAGAGCACGTCTTACCGATACGCAATGATGCAATGTAGTGTTGCAATGAACTTACAAAACCCAATGTGGTAAAATTAACCCATCAAGTCTCTTGCATAAAAGCAAGCAAAAATCTGTCATATGGTGAAACTTTTTGCTATTTTAGGTAATGTTGCTGTTAACAGTTAAGTTGATACAGCATGTTAAACACTTTCAACCAAACCTGACTTTTGTAAACCCAAATCACTAGAATGTCACCAAAATATAATTCTAACCAACACATTGGATGGCAAACAACAACAATTGTTGGCTTGAGGCTGTTTATTATCAGCTTTCTAGCTGTAACACTGACCTATCAGGGTGAGTTTTCAGGAGTCTTATGTTATACGTTATAAGTTGTCGTCCCAGTGTCTTTGATGGTTTTTCCACACTGCATACAAAAGGCACTTCTTTCCTTGAGCCCCAGTCACTTGAAATCCTTGTACTAAAGGGTATTATACTTGGGATCCACCCGGATGAGGAGGCCGTAGTGCATGAAATTTTGTCATAAATTCCGTTGTTGGACCGGACTCCGCCCACAGCTACGTTAAAGCGATGTGATTGGCTAATGACTGAGTACAACCAAGACCTCGTGTGTCGTGCTGCTGAAGTAAACGCAGGTTGAAGTAAATTGCGATTTTCATGTTTACACATCCTTCTAAAGCAAGAACTCTAATTAATGGATACAATCGATTTGTCTCTCAGCTCCTGCGTGTGTAAGTAGCCTAAATAAATGATTAATCAATAACACTGCAAACTCCATGATAGAAAAATTAAATCAATGTGTGCAGTCGTGCTGCTCTTTTAGTGATATTACTGCTCAGTCGAATTGTTTTCTGGCGTTATGTTTTTATTTTATCAAAAACCGTCCAATTAGAATGTGTGACGGAACTCCGAATAAATTAAGACATATACCCACCAAACATGAGACGTCCATCAGACGTGCAGATCATGTCTAGATGG